GACCCAGATCCACCTCGTCCTTTTGACCCAAACGACCTCTGTAAGTCAAAGCCTTGTAACCTTCCAGAAGTTATGAAACCGTTGGTGGCATGCAGATTTAATACATCATTTTGATTACCTTTATCCTTACGCTGTATTGAAGAGAACTGCCATGTGCATGCATATAAGAAGTGTATATGGAAAGCAGAGAGCAAAAAAACAACACAGTTCCATTTATCCTCTCTGAGTTACTGATCATTTATTTATTTATCAAATGTATGTGCCACCCATCTCACAGTTAGAATTGGTGATATCCCAGAGCAAGGAACTCTTGAAAATAATGGATTCCTTTAGAACAAGGAACCTGTAGCTAGTTAAAGATATGAAAGTTATTGCCTCCAAACATTTGTTTCAGTGTTTCTAGGTTCATTAGAAAGGGGCTGCCACACCTTCCACCAGCAAGATTAGCAAAAATGTTTAAAAATATGTCAGATAGATGTTGGAAATGTAAACATAACGTAGGCACGTATTACCACATTTGGTGGACATGTGGTAAGGCAAAGGCCTATTGGAAAAATATACATATGTGGTTAGCAAAAATATTGGGCGAACAAGTGGATTTTAAACTTGAATTTTTTTTACTAGGCATTATGCCTGAAAAGACTAATAAGCAGAAATTATATTTAATTTTACACATTACTACAGCAACGAGAATAATTTTTGCACAATACTGGAAGAATGAAGGACTGCCATCAGAGGAAGAAATAATCAGGAAAATATTGGAATGTGCAGAGATGGACAGATTAACTATGAGGTTGAAAGATAAAGAAGATACAGACTACTATCAAATTTTGAATTTATTTTATTCTTGGTTAGAGAAAAGAATGAAGGATTAGGAATTGAACATGTATTAGCATAGCAACTCCAGACAACTTGTTAATTGGAAAAATTAACATATGTTGATGAAAAAAAAATTAATAAAAATTTTTATTAAAAAGAAAAAAGAAAGGGGTTGCCACAAAGAACAGGGCTCACCCTATTCTTCAAAGCCCCTGAAGGCAGGACAAGAAGCAACGGATGGAAACTAATCAAGGAGAGAAGCAACCTAGAACTAAGGAGAGATTTCCTGACAGTGAGAACGATTCATCAGCATGCAACGACTTAGCTGTAGAAGTCCAACACTGGAGGTTTTTAAGAAAAGATTGGACAACCATTTGTCTGAAATGGTAGAGGGTTTCCTGCTTGACTTAGAAGACCTCCAAGGTCCCTTCCAACTCTGTTATTAAAATCTATTTTTCTTACTTGTGGGCTAACATCGTGTCTCTTCCCTCTGTGTCCTTCAGGGTGCGAGGAATGCAACAACGCACATCCCTCGGTTTGTCCAAAGCACGGGCCCTTGCATCCCATCCCTAACCGACCAGTTTTGACCAGAGCCAGAGCCAGCCTTCCCTTGGTGCTTTACATAGACCGGTTTTTGGGAGGAGTCTTCTCCAAGCGACGCATTCCCAAGCGCACGCAATTTGGCCCTGTGGAAGGACCTCTGGTTAGGTTATCAGAGCTGAAGGACTGCTACATTCATCTAAAGGTAATTGCCTATCTTCTATTTTCCTTCAGAAAATCTTTTCAGAAACGGCTTTTCGCCTGAAAGGGATCCCACGGGCTCACAAATCATGGAAATATAATCCGATGTTGAGACAGCTAATGTAGATGTAAGACATACATATTCGTATAATGTCACAAGCATCTTTGCATCCTGGGCCCAGGAATCACATTTTAATGAAACAATTCCTAATGGTCAAAAGCAACAAAAAACAGGCTGTGGCCGTTTATCTGTCTTTCTATCCATTTAAAATTATTCATGGACTCAGACTTAGTTTGCACGTTACTGTGTATAAAGCCATAATGTGATTGGGATAAGTGTAGTACATTAAACTGACTATTGTGGCTTGTAAGCTATAACTTATGGCTGTCATGGTTCCGACAGATGAAATTCTTCAAAGAACTTCGAGGCATTGTTTACCTTAAAGAATCTTTATTAGAGAAGAATAGCATCGGCACTAATATAATCAAAGCCAAAAACTAGATTCTCCTCTCCTGAGCACATAGTATCAAAGCACAATTCCCTCCTCCAATTAACAGTCATAAATCACATTCTCCAATTAGTTTGAAATGCAGGCTTTCCCTCCAGTTCTCCAGCCCGCCAATTCTTATCATCTCTTATTTCAATAACCTTGGTTCACACACTAGGTCCAGTACTGTTATGTCTAGCTAAACTCTCATGCACATTCCTCCCCCCAGCATCATCTAACTCTAGCTCTAACTCTAAAAGTAAAACATAAGAAGAAAATGGTTGCATCTCCAACTGTTGTCAAAGCAAAAACATCCGATGTTAGCAGCGTTGACAATGGCTTCATGTGTTGTCTAATCTAGCCAATTAATATCCAAGAAATAAATGTTAAGGAAATGAAGGCTGAATACAATGCATAAACCAGGTTATAAAAGTAGCTGAAGGAAGTTCTAGTCCCACCCTTTACTACTGCAAGAAGTCTACTACACTTCTAATTCTTAAAAAAAAAATCTAAGTTCAGGTTGTTCCTGTTCCACTGTTGAATAGCATGTACTGTCAGGAAGTTATGTTTCATGTGCATTTAACATCTCCTTTCTAGAAATCTGAACCTCTTAGTTCAATTTCCATCATCTAGAGCAGAGGTCCCCAGCCTTTTGGGCACCAGGGACCGGTTCCATGCAGAAATGTTTTTCCACAGACCAGAGAGTATGCGGTTTTGTGTGCTGCCCGCATCCCATGGATGGGGCTTTGCTTGTTTGTGCGGACCGGTTGCTGGCATGCTGCGGCCCGGTAGCGGTCCACGGACCTGGGGTTGGGGACCCCTGATCTAGAGCAAAGGAAGACATCTGTTAAATTGTCTGTTAATCATTTGTTTTCCAGACTAAGCTTGGTCTATCTTCCCTCATGAGATTTTGCAAATATCAATAACAGTGCTGAGTGTTAAATAGCTGGTTTCAGATTCCAGTAGTTCAAAACTTATTCTCAGAAGCCTGTGTCAGTCAATCTCTCTCTGTCTCTCTGTCTTTCTCTCTTTCTCTGTCTCTCTGTCTCTCTCTGTCTCTGTCTCTCTGTCTCACTCTCTGTCTCTGTCTCTCTCTGTCTCTGTCTCACTCTCTGTCTCTCTGTCTCTCTGTCTCTCTGTCTCTTTCTCTCTCTCTCTTTGTCTCTCTCTGTCTGTCTCTCTGTTTCTCTCTCTCTCTCTCTCTCTGTCTCACTCTGTCTCTGTTTCTCTGTCTCTCTCTGTCTCTGTTTCTCTGTCTTTCTTTGTGTCTCTCTGTCTTTCTCTCTGTCTCTCTGTCTCTCTCTCTCTCTGTCTCTCTCTCTCTCTCTCTCTCTCTCTCTCTCTCTCTCTCTCTCTCTCACTCTCTCCCAAGTGTGAATTCACATTGCTTGTTATATAAGTATGCTGTAATGACCTAGTTGTTTATTGTGTTGATCAATTAGTAGGCTAAAAAATATTCTCCCATTTTCTGCTATTCATCAGCTTCACGGCTTATCTGGTCTATTAATACTGCTTTCCTAATTTTCAAAATGCAGTATAAATAATGTTCTTGCTAGATACAGCGAGTACACAGTCCTGAGATTAAGATGGGTCACATGCCTGTTTCTCTTTTTACTTTTGCTAAAGGTGTCCCTTGACAAAGGTGACAGGAAAGACCGGGATCTACAAGAGGACCTTTGGTTTGAGTTGTCCAGCGAAGCTCTTTGCAACTGGATGATGTTTGTGCGCCCTGCCCAGAATCACCTGGAACAAAACCTAGTAGCCTACCAATACGGTCACCATATTTACTACACTACAATTAAAAATGTTGAGCCTAAACAAGAACTCAAGGTATGAGGTGACTATCTTAATAGAACTTCTTTTACACAAATCTGGTTGGTATTCCCTCCCCCTCCCCCGCCCAAAGTTTGTAAAAATATTACTAACCCCGTTCTCTGCATCTCACATTCTTCCTTCTAACTTCTGTTTGTAGCCGTCTTTTTCAAAATTGTTAACTTTGAAAAATGCTGCTTTATAGCACAGATGGTTCTCAATGAATGACCACAATGGAGACCGGAATTTCCGTTTAGACCAAGCAAAACGGTTTTTAAGTAACTCATGCCTGATTTTATGAGTGTTTTTTTACAGTGGTTGTTAATTGAATCACTGCAGTTATTAATTGAATCACACGCTCCTGATAAAAGCTCTAAGATGAACGTGCACCGAAGCAGCTTGGTTTATTTTATTTATTTATTTTTTAAATTCCCTCTTTCAGTTCTGTTGGCTGGTTGTTTGTCCTACCTGGCCTCAAATAGGGGATTTTTGCCCCATCTTGTCTGGGTGAATAATTAGTTAATAAGGTATCATTCATTCCAGTCAGCGTATCTCTGAGGTTTACAGCTTGGCTTGTGTGGGTGATGATCTGGTATCACAAGCAGGAAAAATCAGTCATCACCGACTTATTTTTATCTTTTATTAGAAGCAAATCCAATGGACTTTAGAGAGAACAGTTGGGGAAAAAAGCTGTAAGCTTAACATTAAAACAACAACAACAACAACAACCTGGAGGCATTCACAAGACGAGTGCCACCATCTGGCTCTTCCTGTTCCCTGGAGAGTCTGCTGTTTTTTCTGTCCTACCGTATTTTTGAGAACAGAGGAAAAAATGCAAATTTCAACGTGAGAAGGCAGGATCTGTGATCCAGAGTCAGTCCCTGTCAAAGTGACACTGAGCAAAATAGCACTTTCTCCATTTCCCATTACAGGTGTGATACTTGAAAAATGTGTGCCTCTGATTTGTTGTGGCAATCAGGAAAAGAGAATTTGTACACTTTGCAGTCAAGCCATTTATACCAGCTCTCGGTCGCCCCGAATGGGAAATACGATTTTAAAAAACCTTCTATGAATCATAATCTTACAGATTAACTTACATAAAAGGCCTTTTTGATAAGTGGGCAGAAATTCACACTTGCTTATGAAGATGCAATATTTGAATCTATTTTTCCCCTCTTTCATTAAAGCACAAAAGGGCCTGGATAAAATAATAACATTCTAGAAGTTGTGGATCAGTTTGGCTCAGTGAACAGAATGGAAGAGTTGAGCTGAGAAAGCCTGGAACTGAATCATGGTTTTACTCAAAATTGATTCTGTGACTCTGGACTGCCTCCCCAGTCTACAATTCGTGGAAGATGGGCAGGATTCAATTAATTCTATTTAGCTTTAAAAAAAAAAACTATGAATTTCCTTTCAATTTTATATCTGTTTTTAGGTGTGGTATGCTGCCTCCTATGCAGAATTTGTCAATCAGAAAATCCATGATGTATCGGAGGAAGAGAGGAAAGGTATCCAACATCTTACAGTTTAAATAGAATTTTAGAGTTGCAAGATATTTGTTCTTTTGATAGCAGATGCCATTTATATGCTTGGCTTGTTGCAAAAGAAATGCTGTAGGTTTGTATCACTTACTTCAAATGCAGCGTTTCTGGAAAAACTCAATCCATTGAGACAGCTCATTGGTTAGAAGGAGGAATAAAGGAAAAAAAAAACTATTGTGTAAATCTGTATATGCTTTTTCTCGGGCCCACTGCCTGGCATATCATCCTATTTCTCCTTCTGAGACTGCTTTTTATTAGAAGATAAAAGATAGCCTGTAAGCTGAAATTGTGGATTTCTCCAGTCACTCCAATTTCTACCATAGAATTGGAAGGGCAAGGTGAATAACTGACAAAACGTGAAAAGCTTGGGTGTTTCTCAACATTTACTATTGCTTGGCTTATCTTGAAAACACAGTTCTTCGAGAACAAGAGAAAAACTGGCCATGTTATGAGTGCAATCGACGGTTCATGAGCTCAGAACAGCTCCAGCAACATCTCAACTCTCATGATGAAAAGCTGGACTTCTTCAGCAGGTATTTTAAGGAGTCTACCATTCACCCAATTGAAGCGTTCCATAGACATTTCTGTCCCAGAGAAACAGGAAGAGCCAGGTTTTCCAACAAAGAGAGGGTTAAAGTAGTTACTTAAGGTTAACTGTTGTTTGCTCAGGTGCATATCTGTTTCCTTAAGAAGGGAGTCCTTCGGTGCTGTTTAGGAGACAGGGCAACATTTCTGTATTTCATAGGCTTGGAGGACCAAGGTGGCATTCAGCATCATCAGCCTTTAGCTCCAAGTCCTCTTCCACCCTTCCACCCGCTAGAAAAAGCTGAGCGCCCATCTGTACATGAGATTCTATAAGAAAGATGGATGGACAACACAAGAGAAGGTAGAGGGACATCCACCAAAGATGGATGGGCATCTCAAGAGAAATCATCCATGCAGTGAAGACTCTGATTAAAAGAACAAGATGCTAGTTGACCCAGACCCTTCCTATATCATCATCCCTGTTTCCACCAGAGGATATTGTCTCTCCTTGGTTATTGTTTTTAAGTTTTATAGCTTAAAATGGACAGGAAGCCTACAGTTATCTCGATGTGTTTAGACTACAGTGTTCACCATTCCAAAACTTGCTGACTAGGGATGATGGTAAGTGGGAGTCTAACTGTGGAGGGCTGCAGTCCCTGCTCCTTTTCTTAAGTTGATGTTCACAAAGAATGACAAGGCACATCAAGGTCTTCTAATCTAATCCAGAAATCTCTGTGTTTTCTAGAGCAAGAGGCAGAGGTCGCGGACGAGGGAAGCGAAGGTTTGGTCCAGGAAGGCGACCTGGCCGTCCTCCAAAATTCATGCGTCTAGAAGTAACCAATGAAAACGGGGGGAAGTGTGCAGAAGAGAGCCAGGTATACTTGTAGGGAGTGAGTGAATGAGTTTTGCGGAAATGAGGAACTGAGCTGTTCAGCTGGATCTCTTGAAATTTCACATAATGGCATTTCTGCAAGTAGAGTCTTCAACAGCTGGAACGGCTCCTTGGCACCATTTTTGAGGCCTCCAGGACCCCCCAAATTGTATCATCTACATTTTGATGGCATTAAAAACACACAGAGTTTTGGGGGGGAAAAACCTTTCTAACCTCTCCTTACCAAAATAAGAAAGAAGAGCAGAAAAATAATGGTTTCCTCCCCATGTAGTCGTCTATGGCTTTCTCACTGGATGTGTCTTACAATGTTTAAGAAAAAAAAAGAATGAAATGTGGTTTATGGAGGAAAAAAAGACACCTTTTCTAGATTGTAGGGCATCAGTCTAGCAGGCAATCTGTCTGATAAGACAGCTGGCTAGTTAGTGACCTCTATCAGCAATGAGCAACCCATCTGAATGCAGTAAACCTTGAAGCTGGATAGCAGGCCAGAACGTGGAACTGCATTTTCTGACTGCCAGGCTCAAGAATATTGTAGTATCCTTATTATAGCTCAAACCATCGTGATTGTCAATCACTTTTTGGTTGGGAGGGGTCCTTCTCCTATTTCTAATTTATTCAAAGAGGTCTTCCTTTTTCCTTGCCCGCTAGCACTTTTCCTTCAGAGAACAAACCAACATTTTTGCTTTTAAGCATTGAATGTGGCAGTTGCAATCGCATCATCAGAGGCAGAACTGAAAAAAATGGTAACTCTGGTAAGCAAACGGCGCACAGACAGCAGCAAAGAAAGGGCCTTCAAAGGATGTTGGTGTATATCAAGGCTGTATCTGTCGAGCACCCAGACAGTCCAAATGGTTATAAAGATTTATTGCAAAGCTTAAGTTCTCTACAAGAACCTGAACTACTAACGATCAAAGCAAATTGGCAGTAGATAAGAGTCAAAAGAATTCAAGGTGGGCAGGACTTAGATCTCTTGTGGGCACCAATGGACTTGAGACTGATGACACGTTTGACCCCCTCCCTACCTCAGGCTCAGCCTGGTCATCTACAATATCCTTGGTTTATAATTGCAGGACTTGCTGCCTTTTGCCACTAAGGGACAGTTTGATGAAGCTGGACAAGCTACCCTAAATGGACTAGACCAACCCGAGCAGACCCCAGTCATCCCAGAAACGTCGTCCTCCTTGGATCAGCTGCCTGAAAGCCACTCACTGCAGCTTCAGCCACATGAGCAGACGGTCGTGGCTACCCCAAGCCTGATAACAGCAGACGACATGCGGCGAGCAAAGCGTATCCGGGTAAGTGAAGGACTCAACCACTGGCTGGCCTGGCATTTAGGTTGCATTCGTCTACGGCCGTGTTTTTCTCAACCTTGGGAACTTGAAGATGCGTGGACTTCAACTCCCAGAATTTCCCAGCCAGCATAAACAAACCATTGTATTTAGGCATGAAACTGATTTTTTTCTGAGTGCCAAATTAGGGAAAAGTCAGCACTGGAGTTTTTGCCTCTTTGGAAACTCATGCTGCTCTTTTATGAATTATTTTGGTAGGGGAAACTGGGTACCAGTTGAAATTGATGAGATTCACAATATTTGGCGATCCTTTCCTGGGAACCTTGGTCTGTGCAGGCTGGCAGGCAGGCATGTTCTGAACAGCTGGATGAGGTGATGTGTATTAATGGTTCGTTGGCAGCACCATCTGTACGTATGTCATTGTTAGAAGACGTGGCCAAAGATGTACTGTGACCTTGATTAATCCACTACATTTTCTCAATGGGCACGGATTTTGAGATTAAGGCAATTCTGGTAAGCTTTTATATTTGGGCAGGGGGAAATAAAATCAGCTAAGGGCCGGTAGGTGCTGCTACCTACTGTGTCCTTGTTGCTATTTAGTAGATGTTTTTCAAGCTCTCACAGCTTGACAGCTCCAAGCATCTAATACGCCTTTCCAAACTCCAGCCAATCCTACCTCCCCCCCCCAACAGCTTAAACTTTTCCTCATCCAGGCTTCTGCAGTGCAAACTTGGCTAAGTGAAAGCATTTCCAATAAGAAAACTGCCCACTGCTTGTTGCATGATGTGGGTGATGGGATCCGTACTAATAGTCAATTTTTTTTAATTGCAATTACAACTTCTACCTTGCCTGGATTTCTTTCTCTTAAGTGTGAATAGGAATAAATATTTCATGCTTGGGAAACAAGCCATGTCTAATAAGAGAAGAGAAATGGTAGTTTGTGAGTGCAAAATTTCTTTAGGGCTTTCTCCTACTCTGTAGGGGTGTACAAAGTCCCTGCTGCCTTTTTCCATCTTCTGCTGGGTTGGTGTCCTATAATTGGAGATTTCCTGTAAAACTGGAGAAAAGGCTGCCGCACAATTATTTGCAGACATCAAACACCCCCGTTTAATTACCAAAGCATGCAGGACATTTGAAATTAAGACTGCAACACCAGATGTGGATTGCTCCCATCCCAATCTAAAAAGAAACAATTCTACTGAAATTGGTTAATCTAGGTGGAAATGAGAAAAAAATGTGGAATATTTTAGTTTTATGTGTGTGAAAAAAAGAAAAAAAATGAATGAAATTACATATGAAGAATATATGAAGGTAATGTTAGAATCATTGTTACTTTCTAATATTTGACAGCAAGATGGGTGGCATAAAAATTTAATAAAATGAATGAATGAATGAATGAATGAATACTTCCATAAGTGATCCTGTACAGTCTTTTGTTTTGCTTTCCTGTTCTGAGTAAATAACATAGCTCTACAAGTTTGAGCACATTTTTTGTACATTTGAGGGGAAGCTTCCTTTTTCATGAAGGGAAACAACGGTAAGTGTCCAAACAGTTGCCCAACATGCTCTCCCTTCATAATTTAAAGTGGGGTTTCCCCCTTTTTTTCAATAACTAGTGTCCATTTGCTCAGTCATGTAGTATATTCATCTTGCAATTATTTTTGGATGTTGCATGTTGTATCTTTTGGGCAAATCTATTGACTCTATTCTCTTCTCTTTATACCACAGATAGATGGTAAGCTTTACAAATGTTTGCTGCAAGGTAATCTCCTCAGTATCCTGGCTAGTTAACCTGATCCATTCTTGAACCTATCGTTTCAGAATGCAGCTCTTCAGCACTTATTCATCCGGAAGTCATTCCGCCCATTCAAATGCCTGCATTGCGGAAAGGCGTTCCGTGACAAGGACAAATTAGACCAACATTTAAGGTTCCACGGACGGGAAGGGAATTGTCCTTTGACCTGCGACATCTGCAACAAGGGCTTCATGAATAGCAGCGCCCTGGAAAGTCATATGAAGTTCCACCTGGACCAGAAGACCTACTCTTGTATTTTCTGCCCAGAGTCCTTTGACCGTTTAGACCTGCTGAAAGATCATGTGGCAATCCACATTAATGATGGCTACTTCACTTGTCCTACCTGCAAAAAACGCTTTCCGGATTTTATCCAGGTGAGTTTGGTGGAGGATCAACAATAACGTCATTTATGGGCACTGTTTTGTGCTATTTGTTCCTTAGTGCTGGAATCCACAATAAGATCACAGTTCGTAAGTTGCACATTCTTTTCCCTCTAATGCAGGGGTCTTCAAACTTGGCCCTTGTATGACTTGTGGACTTCAACTCCCAGAATTCCTCAGCCAGGCATGCTGAGATCTAATGAGATCATTTCAACATGGGTAAAATTGTATGCATAAGTTTTGAAATGGATTTTCCTGTTTGACTGTCCCCACCAGGTGAAAAAGCACGTGCGCAGCTTCCATTCAGAAAAGATTTACCAGTGCACAGAATGCGATAAGGCTTTCTGTCGGCCTGACAAACTGCGGCTTCACATGTTGCGGCATTCAGATCGCAAGGACTTCCTGTGCTCCACCTGCGGCAAACAGTTTAAGGTAGTACATCCTAAGATCAGGGATAGGGCAGCTGTGGCAACTTTACAACCTGCGGACTTCAACTCCCAGAATGCTGGCTGAGGAATTCTGGGAACTGAAGTCCGCAGGTTGTAAAGTTGGGAGAGTTGCCCACGCCTGCTACAGCTTCTTCTTATGCAGGAAGCAGTAATAGGTTGACATGGCTGTCAAGGCTCTCTTTTCAGAAAAGAAACCATCTGTCAACACCTAAACTTGTGCTGAATTTGGCACAAATGGTACGCACCATCTTGCCTGATGCATGTGTGTGGGTTGTGCTTTGGTTCAGCAAATTATGAGCAAAAGTCACATTTAAAATACACTGCAGATGAGTGAGTCAACATTGTATGAAGTTTCCAATGGAAGGCACAATCCCAGACCTGTTTGTGTTGTTGCACTGTTAGGATTCTTACTGTGAGATTAGACCAGAGATGGGAAATTTCAATGACCAACAGCCTTGTGAAGCATAGACAACGATGCGGAATTCTGGAAATTGTATTTCTGGAATATCTGAAGTGCCAAAAAGTTGATCTTTTCTACATTAGAGATATATTAGCAGTGAACTGAAATTTGCAAAGGAACCATTTGCTATCAATTTTATTTAAAGATTTGAATGTATCCCCCAAAGTCATAATCATCTCAACTTATATTTCTTGATGCTTAACCTGAATCTAAATATACTTTAATTTATCTTAAATGTCTTTACTACTGGAAGGATTCCGGTCATAAAGAGTCCCTTTCTTTAATATTTTTGTGAGCCTTGCAGATCAATTGATTAAATTGTGTTATCTGTCACCGAACAAATTCAGTGGCAGTTTTAATAAATATATTTTCTTGCTTTTATTCATGATTAATCTGCTTTAGAGGTCAACTTTTACATATTCTACGTGACCACACATTTCACGCTTGTCTCTACTCCTTCTTCTTCCTGATTATTTTGATTCTTCTCCCATCCCCCACCCCCAGAGGAAAGACAAGTTGCGAGAACACATGCAGAGAATGCACAATCCAGAAAGGGAAGCCAAGAAAGCCGACCGGATTAGTCGCTCCAAAGCCTTCAAGCCCCGGATCGCCTCTACGGATTATGAGAGTTTCATGTTCAAGTGTCGCCTGTGTATGATGGGTTTCCGAAGACGAGGCATGCTGGTTAGTTAGATATTCCAGACTCCTCAAAATCCTAGCCTACGAATCCCCACTAATTAAAGGTGAAAGTTAAGGTTTCCCCTGTCCAGTTGCGTCCAACTCTAGGGCACCGTGCTCATCTTTGTTTCGTAGCGTTGTCCAAAGACCCTTTCCATAGTCATATGAGCAACATGATTCTATGCCGAGGCGCATGGAACGCTGTTACCTTCCCACCAAAGTGGTACCTATTTATCTACTCGAATTTGCTTGCTTTCAAACTGCTACGTGGATAGGAGCTGGAGCAAGGAACAGGAGCTCACCCCATTGCATGGTGCTCTGGTCTCAAACCAGGGCTGGCAGCTTTCCAGCTGGCAAGCTCAGTGTCTTTAACCACTGAAGCATCACTCCTTCTCCACTAATTAGGCACCATTTCATAAAGGCATTCTGTGTGAGCTTGACTTTAAAAAAAAAAAAAAAAAGTTAAGAGCAAGGGTGGACAATCTCCAACGTTAAGACTGCATGCAGAATCAAGTTCCTTTTGGGGTTCAAGAGGCTCTTGAAAATAGACCATTATTTTCCTCTGCTGTCAGCAGAAAACCATCTTGCCCCACCATGCCTATGTTGGTCATCCCATATTTGGAGCAAGGATTATAGGAATATCAAGCAAAAGTACATTCTTACAAAAACATCCTTTGTTGTTTCTCTTAAATATTGCTTCTGTGAATTTATGGGACTTGTCCTCCCATCTCTCCTAGGAACATTGGAGTTTCTCACAAATACCCTGTGGAAATGATTAGATTTAAGAGGAGGATTTACGTCTGACCATGGATTGGAGCTTGGGATCTTGAGATCCTAGTACTATACCCTATCCAGGCACCACATGATTTATTAACATTGGGCTCTCTTTGCCTAAGAAACAAGCAGCTACTTGACTTACAAATGATTATTAGTAGTATGATGTGAATAGGTTCGCAAAAGGCTGAAAATGGCCCTGAGTTCATCCTATTCGTCAAACAAACCAATTACCAGAGGCCTGGAAAAATCCTGATTGTGCCCATCCAATAAAGGATTATATGTTTAGCCATAAATCATTTAATGCTCAGGGTCCACGCTGTTCTGTTGGTGTTTTAGTTTTGCAGACAACTGAATGGGGATATAACAGATGTGAAGTGGGTAGGTTAACATGAGGTCCATGAACAAGGTAGAGATGCTTTTCTTTTGTCCTTTTTAAAAGGGATTTTTTTTCTCTCTCTTATTCTGTTGGCTTTTAAAAATCATTAGTATTTATTCCAGTGCATTTATATATTCCCTGTCTTAAATTTGATAGGGTTTTTTTAATTATTAAAAGTTTTATAAAAATTACAATATGAATCCCCATACCCACCTCAAACCCCCCCCTCCCTCTCCCCCACTTCCCAGAGCTGAACACAGGGTTACAAATATAATAATCATAATCTAACTAACATTAACCAACTATTTAAATAACCAAGTCCATAAAGCGCTTTAACTCCCTTTTAACAAAAATTTAAACAAGTTAAAATTAAACACTATAATAAACAAATTAACCTAATTATTAAACAATACAATACAATACTAATACTAAAAGTAATAATATCATATAATTAAACCTAAGAAAAACTCCACTATAATAAACTATTAGTAATAATAAATCTAATATTCACTCATAAACCAAATGGAACTTTTTAGTCCCATATTTATTCTGAATATAATCTATCCATCTTCTCCAAACCGAAGTGTATCTTTCTTGTGAATGATCCTTCAAATAAGCAGAAATCTTGGCCATTTCTGCTAAATTTGAAACTTTAAGCGTCCATTCTTCTATAGTAGGCAAGCAACCCTTCTTCCAATGTTGCCCTACTAATAACCTTGCAGCTGTTATTATAACCTTGCAGCTGTTATATAGTTTTTTTCAACATGGGCACCTCCGACTTTGCAAAGCGCATTTCAGAATAGACTCCATTTAGTGACTTCTTGATGTTCAATACTATATTAACTGTTGAGTGGGAATCGGTATTTTTGCAGTAGTTGGACCACACTCCTCCATAGGTGGGTCCTCTGGGTCTTCTTGTTTTAGGATTGCTCGATCTCTACACCTTATTGTCACAAGGAAGCAAATATAGGAGTTCTGTGTCTTTGTTGTATTACACAAACATGGTTCATTTTGTGACTCTATAATACTATTTTTTTAAAAAAAGTGCTTCTCTTTTTCATCTTAGGTGAATCATTTATCAAAGAGACATCCTGAAATGAAAATAGAAGAAGTGCCAGAGCTAACACTGCCTATCATCAAGCCTAATAGAGATTATTTCTGTCAGTACTGTGATAAGGTATGAAATGAACCCACCTCTATCTTGGCTGTATACGTGGAATTAAATGTAACTGATCTGGGGATTTTCCCCCTTCAGATCGATTCATTATTTGCTCAGAGGACTCAAAAAGAGAATTTGTTGGAGGTGTGCGCACACACACGCGTACACACACACAAACAACCTTCTAAAAGAAGATAAGTGTAGGTCTCGGCTGAAAGCATGTATTTTACCTCTGGGGATCCAAATTGCACTTTTATTAGAAGATAGAGTGCTTTGAAGATTGAAAGAACTGCTGTACAGAATGAGAGGGAACTGTGTCATATAAGGCATACTGTATTGTCCCTTCGGTTTTCCATTTGCCATCTCTAAAAATGTGATTTAAAAAAAATAAATATCAAAAATCTTGGGCTGCTAAACTGATAGCTAATAAAGCTATCCTACTGAAGGGCACATGTCAGCTAGTAAGGAGAATGAGAAGACCAACATTTGTCTCCTGAACAGTGACTGTGATTCACACACTTTTAAAACAATTAATCTTGATCCCTCAAATAAATAACCAGGTAGAACGGAATGCAGTCTTTTC